GGCAACGACGTTGTAAAACAAGCCAATTTCCTTCGTGAACTCGGCAACCAGGTTACCGGTTTTTTTTTTCACCTCTGTTTTATTTTGGCGGTAACCACAATGGTGGTCGAGTGGATCATGTTGTGCAGGGTCGAGAACCCTCACTCCGCGCAAGGGGGATGATCGCACCACGTTGTGTTACAATGGTCAAGCACCCTCGAGGCAGTTACACAGCAGTGCTTACAACTGTCTCTGGAAGTGAAAGCACCAGAAAATAATTTAAGTCATACATACGCAGCTGTCATCCATGCGCAAGGACGTGAGCACAAGATGCCGAATACCCGTCGCAGTATGCAGCGCACCCTGCATGCGACTCGCCGAATATCTCACGGCGCTTCGCGCTTGGTGATGTGAGAGCCTGGTCCGGTGAGAACCCGGCGTGCTCCNGCTCCGTCCCGGCTTTGTAGGGATGCGAGGTCAATGGCCTAACGACTGCGGCATGCACGACTATGAGTACATCCCCCCCCTCCCTGCCTGGACTACTACATACAGTAGCGGCTTAGGGTCGTGACAAGCCAAAATCCCTCTGTTAAATCGGCACTTCTTCTGTTAAATCGTTTTGGCACCTAGTCGTCCCAACAGCAGCAGTATGTGCCGTAAGAGTTGATGGAGAGCGAGCGTATCATTCATGTCACATAACGCAGGTAGCGCCTGCCCCTTGGGCTAGCTCCACACACCGCTTTCTCTGCTGGTTGGCGAGCAATGTGGACCAGTTGTACGCTCATTCTTGGTGTGTGTTGTGTGTTGTGTGTTTTCGTCCTACTAATTACTATGGCGACAGTCCCCCCATTTTCGTGGTGAGACGTGTACTACGCTTTTTCAGCGTTTGTAGAGTGCTACACTTTCCAGTGTATTTTTTCGTACAATTACAACCATCCAGGGTCACACAGGAGGGGGTAAATACCAGGGCTTTTTTTCGCTTCGTATTTGTTTACATGCCCCACCCTCCTGCTGCGGTGCGTGCTGAATTTCTTTTTGTCGCGGGAAGGGTCCAGCCGTCGCTTTCCCTCGTCAACGGTGCTAACGTCGAAGTTTGGTCAACACGAGAGCTTTCCAGCTTTGTTTCGCTTTCACCCGCAGAGTTTGCAATTTTAGTCCCGCAGGGATCCGAACTCACGACCTCTTTGACTCTCGGTTCTCGAGGGTACCACTAGACCACCGGGGACAGGGTGTGTGTAAAGTTTCGGGAACGAACTAAATCGCGCTCTTATTCAGAAGAAAGAAGCTCGATCTAACAGAAAATCTCACAAATAACAAGACAAATTTTCTGTTCAACCGATTTTGCCGTGCCAAGCTAGTTCACCTCTGTTAAACCCGGACTTTCTTTGAAACATCTTATGTTAAACCGTAGCCGCTACTGCTGTATGCAGAAATTGTGAAACAGCGTCGTTACTAGACCACATATAGCAGCAGTAGTATAAATAATTATATCGTCAACCAATTGGACACACGCACCTTCGCCGGACCGCAACTCGAGATGCAGCACTCTTCCGTCAGCCATGAGCGGAACCGCATTGGCATGGAGAAGATAAAGATCAGTGGCGCTCATCGAAGTGCGGATCTTATGGATACGTCGGTGTGGACTCTGGGAGTGTAACTGGTCGTGATGGGCTTCGTGATGTGACTTGTCCTGCATCACTCGCTCACTCGCTCACCTTCATGAAACACGGTTGGTTCTGATTTGGAACCAAGTCCTTTCGGGTAAATTCATCAAACAGGGCAGCACCAGCAGCAGCGCACCGCACTTGCAAGCACGCACGAAGCGAGAGAACGAGAGCGTGGTGTGTGTATCGCCATGATTCAAGTGACAGGAAGACGGGCAGAAAAGGCTCTTCTGCTCCTGCTTTGCCTGGGGAAACGAGGCAGCACGGCTTTCCAGGTTAGAGGACCCGTCGCAACCACACAGCGGGCGACAGCAGCCGTACGTGTTTGCCGCCCGACGGCGCTCTCTTCAGTAGCCGGGGGCGTCGCAGAGCCAGGAACTACGGTGGCATGTTCCCGCAAGCTCTCAAAAGCTGTGGTGGTTGCTCGTGGCAAGGCCCGATTATTTTGGTGAGTCTCTAGCGCGTACAAGGAAGCGGTGTGTGTACCACTTGTTGCTGTTGTTACCACAAACGCCACCCTCCACATGCAAAGACGTTACTACCTGCGCCGTTGCATAACAGCACCCAGCTTGTGAGTTGTCATGTTTTCGGGTTAAAACCTTGCTGAGCACTCAGAAAGGATATAAGTTGGCGAGACACATACAAAAATAGGCGTGCTTTCGTACAAGGAGTCCATAGCAGTAGCAGGCAGGGAGATATTCTACTACAGTACTGCTGACATGAACTGCCTGCCAATGACACATGTGTTTGAAGACCCTTCTGTTGCACAATTTTCTCGAACGATTGACCTCCCGCGGAAAGATTGGGGCATACGAAATGAACAGAGGGTAGATACTACTCTAGTTGCGTTCGAGGGCAGGGCAGATGCTACGCTGAAGACTTCCCGAAACATCGGAGACGACGTCCGCAGCTATCTAATGCTGCTGTAGATGGAGAGGCCTGATACTCTGCGGGCACTCCTGCTCTGCACATGACACCATCACAGGCCTTCCTGGTGCGAAACCCTCTGCCGCGCGTTGCTGCATCGGGTAACTCATCTTCGTTGCTCCTCAGGGACGGGAACCCCCTCGTGTATGGAGGGGCCGTTTCTCGCGTGGAAGGGGACCCCGCCGCAGGTGACGTTGTTGACGTCATCGATTCCAGCGGGAAGTTCATCGCTTGGGGTAAGACACGCGATGGTGCTGCGAGACCACAGGGGGGGGGGGAGGAAGTGGTAAGTCATCAAACACAATCGAAAATGAGCTATCTCGCGGAGAGACCTGTTGGATTCTGTCTGTGCTCGCGGTGGGACCATTAAGGAAGTCACCGGTGTTTCTTCTCAAGCGTGATAGGGGAGAAAGGGAGATAGAGAGACAACCAGAAACAGGCAGACAGGCAGACAGAGAGAGAGAGAGAAAGAGAGAGAGAGTGCACAGACACAGGTTGGTAGTCTCCATGCGTAGACGCACGATTTTCCACACCCCCTGTTGATTACCATGCCATCACCTCGGCCGCGCACCAACCAAGCCTTCAAGCGAGACTCACTGATCGCGACCCATCCTTCCAGGAGTATACAACCCCGATTCGATGTACCGTGTGAGGGTTCTGGCGAGGGAGGGCGAAGCGGTGTGTCACGATCGAGACGTGGGCGCCGTGGTAAAGGAGCGTCTTTTGACCGCTCGCGACGCCCGACGAGCGATCGGCTTGCCGAACGCTAAGACCGATACCTACAGGTGGGTGGAAGGCGGTGCAGCAGCTGCTTGCGGCGTGCCTCGAAGCGCTGGTTTGGAGTGCTGCTGAAGTGCAGGGGATTGCGGGGGGGGGTACCTGGGGCTCCATGGTGGTGGTATTTGTTCGTCGGACCGTGCTTAGATGAAGGCACACCGCGTCTGGGATGTTCCGGGTCACAAACATCAGTAGGGTGTATTGTCGTCATCATGCGCGTTTGTTGCTGCCGCATATGGGAGAACTGTTTAGTGCAATCCATGCGGCATAACGGTTTGCCTCAGGATGGCTTAGTATAGTCTCTGGATATACATACTTGTAGTAGGGTAAATCTGCACCACTGTACGTAGACAAGCACCCCGTAAACGTGCTTCACACCGGCTATCGCTCTGCAAACTGGACGCCTTCCGCTCTCCCGCTGCAAACCCCTCCCTTCGCTCAGGCTGGTCAACGGGGAGGGCGATCGCCTGAGTGGCTTGGTAGTCGACGTGTTCGCCGGCGTGGTAGGGGTTTCCTCTTCGGCGGTGTGGGTGGAGGCGTTTCGACCGGAGATCGAGGGCGCCCTCGGAGAAGTCTTCGGCGCCGACGCGACAGAGATAATCTGGCGGCGGAGTGACGGACGCCTGCAGCAGGACGGGTGGAAGGGAAACAACCTAAGCTCGCCGGGGGTGGTGGCAGAAACGACGGGTGCCGATAGCGAGGCGGCGCGAGGCGCGGGCAGCTCAGAGGAGGTGGGGGCGGTAGGAGGGGGGGAAACGGGAGAGAAGAGGCTCAGGAGTGATGCGCCGTCCACTGTGGTGCGCGAGCACGGGCTGGAGTTTGAGGTTCGCCCCCAGTTCGGACAGAAGACAGGTGAAAACAGCAAACGTGGGCACGGTGTTTGCTCAAGGGTTGCTTGAGGAGTTCACAGTCCGGCATTCAGGTTACGTACTACATTTACATTGTAGCTGACCCTCGTACCCAATGCCGTTGGAATTTCTCTCGTTGCAGGTGTGTTCCCTGCTCGCACCCCGCCTGTTGAAGTCTAGCCGTCCTCTCGGTAGAACCGCATGCTGATCACTGGCTCTTCTGTTGTTGTGGATGCTGTTGCTGTTGTATTTCGTTTTGTTTTGTTGCTATTGTTGCCGTTGTTGCTTTGTCGACATTCGGAGAAGGATTCTACTGCGATCAGAGGGAGAGCAGGCAGGCCGTTCGGGAACTCAGCCAAGGCAAGAACGTGCTCGACATGTAAGTCCAACCCCCCACCCGTCTCTCGGCTACCTTTGTGTGTTCGTTGATTGGTCACCCTGCCCGACAACTTTGTCAAGTGAAGAGGTTCCGGCAGAAGTACGGTTGTTGTATACCGTACCGTCAAGCAAAGCTTGGTTTGCTATTTGAAATATTTCAAACTCGCGTTCCCGGTCCCTTGATATTTATTTGGCTATTTTTGTCCCGAACCATGGTTCAGGAATATCCGTGGAAATCCAATTTCTATTTCAAGCTCGTGGGGTACATATCTTTAAACGGGGAGGCCTTGATATAGGCTGTTCCGAGGTTAATATTCCAAAAGATGACGTGTAATCCGAAACTTCGTCAAGTGTGCGCACACCTTGCTGCAACACGTGCTTTGCTGCAGCAGTATTACAGCAGTACGTTGTAGAGAGAGACAAGCTTGGAGAGACGGGTGACCTTCATAACTGCTACGCTGCTGTCAGCGAACCAGGATGGATACGCACGCCTGTGTTGAGACTTCGCATGTGGTTCGCATGTGTTTCAAGAGAGAGGCAAGAGCGACACCACACTCAGACACAGCGAGATGCTATTTTCCTCTCTCTCCGGCTGGGCAGCTGGCTTAAATATCGCGTGCATGCATGAACAGGATGATGAAATCATCAACCGACCACTACAGCTCGCTGCCGACACACAGCACACACACCAGACACGCACACCCTAGCCACTCATGCCCCAGTTATGTAACCATGCACTTTCAGGAGGGCACTCTCACGATCGATGGTTATGATGTGTGTCACCCAGGTACTATAGCGGAGAAGAGCCTTTGGAACGAAAAACGAAAAAACACCCAACAATCGATTCTTGAGCGACAGCAGAGGATCTACAACGCAGAACTGGATGAGAGATTCATCACGTTATGAATACTTGCGTGCGCGCGGTGACCTAAAAGCTCTGGCGTGTGGGTCTAGGTTTTGTGTCCGTCCTCTGTCGTTCTTCGCCTCTGACCGAGATTGCCAGCTGCTAATACCTGGAGGGAGCGGCTGATGAATGGAGCCGTTTGGTTTTTCAAGTCGAGATGCGGGTTTACTGTGCTGATGTGCTGTAGTAGTAGAGGGTGTTGTAGACGAGGATTGATGCATCATTGGTGATTTATCTCAAGCAGGAGGACGGAGGGGTGGAACAGCCTGCGAGGTAGAAGCCGCACGCTGGCTTGCACGGTGGTAGAGCTGTTCGAGTAGTAGCAGTCGGGGTCCGTGCGGCATGGTAACCCTCGTGCGAGCTGTCCCTCCCTTCTGTCACGGGCGGAGGTACAAAAAGCTAAAAATCCTTCCTGAATAAGTATGTAACCGGGCCAACACATCCCTCTGAATATTTATTCGGGAACAAAGATCTAGCCGGAAATTCCCGACCGATGGTTCGGGAATCTCCGCGCGGTATTTCATACTCCAATTATCGAGAAACCCGAGAATCCAGTCAAATAATCTAGGAATCTCGAGTTTGAAATATGTCAATTGAAGGCTGTACCAGCAATTGGTTCACATGCGTACAGATGACATGAACACCACGGCTGTTTTTTCCCGCGGCAGTTTTTCTGCGTTCGCATGCCTCTTTACATCGACTACGCTACAAGATTTCTCAAAGCGGTTCCTCATACGGTTTCTTTCGCTTGCGATTGGTCGCTACTCGACCGTTTGTCACAAGGTTCTGCTACAGCGGCGGGTTTGCACTAAACGCCGCCGCCGGCGGAGCGTTGCGAGTCGTGGGTGTAGACTCGTCCCAGCCGGCGCTGGAAGAAGCCCAGGTCAACGCCGCTCGCAACGAACTCGAGGGACTGACGGAGTTTGTCAAGGACGACGCTCTCAACTTCATGAAGGCAAGCTGTTGCCGCCGCGCACCCGCCATCATCGCGCCCCCTCTTGCCGCTACACCAGACGGAGGGTAGACGTGCTTTGAGCGACCTGTCTGTGTGGGGGCTTGGTCGCTTCATCATCTCTGAAACTCCAGACGATAGTGCCAGATCCCGACTCGGCATCGTTTTCATGGCTCATGACGCGGCATGGATGCCATCGCACAAATCTGCCTACTTCAGGAAGGAATATTTTTGCCTCGCGCCTTGAGACCACGGACTGCTTTGCCAGAGCCGACCGTTCGGTAGCCGTTTAGCGGTCGAGTAGGCATAGAGCAAAAACGTCTGGGCTTTCGGGCTTCGCGCGTCGCCCAAAAGGCGCCCTCAGTTAAAAGAGTCGATACGGCCACGCAAGTGCCGCCGTTTCCCCTTCACCCAAACAGAAGCCTGACTCGTACGTGCGAAGCGCCTCCCTAACCTCGTGTAAACCACTCCGTGTCCGATGGCGGCGATACTGTTGTTGCCGCCAAACGCGTGCGTGCGTGCGTGGTGGGTGGCAGGCCGCGAAAGCCAACGGGGACGAGTATGACTTGGTAATCGTGGACCCTCCTAAGCTCGCGCCGAACAAGAAGGCGCTGCCGCGCGCGACCTCCCGCTACAAACGGATCAACGCGGCCGCCCTTGAGCTGGTCGCGCCAGGCGGGATCCTGCTGACGTTTACGGTGAGGAGGTGTAGTAGCGAGGGTGGGCGATGGGTGTGGGGGGGTAGAGACGTTCATGCCGCGGTGCGACATGTACGGTAGGTTCCTCTCGTATGGCCCGTGTTTACGCCAGCTTATGTGTTGATCTGCAGTTTTGCGGGGCAGGCGTCCGAGGGCAGTGTGATGCATTTTGATGCTTGTGGCCGGCGGTGCCCCTTTCCAACGTCCGTATCGAGTATTCTACGATAGTGTTGACAATTTCCCTGGTCAAGGTTGCCGACGTAGCCCGCATTTCTTACTAGCCAACCTCAGCAGCCAGCGTGCAACGTTCAGCACATGTACCGATGAGGGTGACATGAACGCAGGGTACAGCTCATCCGGTGGGAAGAAATGCCCCACCCCTCACAGCAGCGGCTAGAGCGCCCCCTTGCAGAGAAGAACGTGGCACAATTCTCCGCCCGCCCTCATTTGGAACCCAGCGGCAAAAAAATCGTTCTCTTACACAACATCGTCGGCTTTTGGTTGTCCTCATTTGTATGATACTCGTATCGTGTGTCGGCGCGCCGCTTATTTTTCTTCTCCTCCCGCGAACAACTGCTTTGTGCCCTTGGAACAACGAAACAGTGCTCAGCCGCCATGACACAAGGAGGGGGATTCGTCGGGGTCGTGCAGAGCGCGGCGGCGGCCGCAGGCAGGACGATCACCCTCCTCAAGACGGTGGGCCCAGCTGCGGATCACGTCACTAACCCCTCCTATCCGGAAGGCGCCTACCTCACCGGCGCGTTCTTCTTTGTTGTCTGAGGAGAGAAAAAAAAAAATCGCGGCGTAGCCATCGCGGCCCTCGCTGCGTTTGTGGGAACGGACGGAAGGGGAAACGGTTTTGTGTGCCGGCGATGAAGTAGGTCCCAATGCTTCGGGAATGTTCTTCCGTCCGTTTGCGTTTTTTGTAGTGGCGTTGGGGTAATGGACCTACATGCTTGGGCACGATCGAGGCGTGTGAAGAAGCTCAACAGGCTGGATAAGTTATGCAGGATACTATCGCGAGCATCATGTCGTCGGCAATTTTGTGTGAAAGGTCTTGCACATCATCCTGAAGGGCGCATGTGCTGAGAGCATATCGTGGACCGTGTGCCCTGAATCATTGTAACCTCCTGAGTGGTTCAAGGTACAGACGAATCACGCCCGTAAAATGCGATTTTGCAAAATTCTCGAGATACTTTGGCCACGCAGCAACACAACGCGCCCACATTAATCGTAACACTTACCCTGGTGGATTCTATCGTACTCGGCCGCAAAGATACGCCCAAATCAAGACAAGACACCCCGACGTCCGAGGCCACAAAAAAACAGATCATACGCCCCAGCAAAGCAAATGGAACTCCAACCCCCTCCTTTCTTCGACGTCCAGAGTTGATAACGGTCGAGAGACGAAGGCACAGGAGCTGTGATGCCCAACACGCAATAGATGAAATGCTCCCCAGATCCTTCGCACTCCCAACCGCTACCTCCACGCGCACATACATGGTTCATACTGGAGGGGCCTCTCACAGTTTCATAAAGATGCAAACCACCAACACCGAACCACACTGCTTACATATCAAGTTTACCCACACACCCTGCCAAGCTTTACAAGAAAGCCCGTTCCAGAATCAACTCACAGAAATTAAGCAATGCTATCGTGCATCGCTCACGGACTAGCCACCAGGCCGCCCGCGGTACATCTTCAGGCACGAACCATGCAAAGCCAGCGTCACTGGGGCCGGCGATGATGGGCCATGTTCGAGGCCAATTCCACTAACAAAAACAAATCCGACCTGAGGAGATGGCAAAAAAACACTCTACATCCGCGGGGGGCGATAAGAAAAAGACGTGCCCAAAAGGTAGACCAACAAAAACAAAAAAACCGCCACGACAAACCCCCCCATGCTCTGTCACATGTCCAAGTGAAGGCAGACCCGAGGGACGCTTGCAGCAGTGGCTGCCATCGCGCCTGTGCAAATTCGCCATGAACACCGTCCTGCACAGAGGTGCAATTAAACCTTCGATGGAAAACGAACGCCCTTCGATCGGATGGCATGATACGTGGGACAAACCAACGCCGTGTCAGACAACCCAAAACAGCCACAAAACAATCTCCCCCCGCCTGTTATAGCTTGCCCGGTGTTGCCACCGTGCGTGCTGCAACTACAGTACACTCACTCCTATGAACTTGCGCTGGACAACAACGGGTGTGCCCACCAAACCAAACGCAGCCCCCCCCAGACAACACGACCCGCACGCACAAGAACAAGACAAGACACAGCGAGTGTATGGGACGATCTTCCGCACGAGAGCAGCTCGAGATCGCAAGAGACACGCGCCGCCGATCCCCAAAAAAGGCTCCCCCCCGGCCCTTCCCACCCACCAGTTACCCCTCTCTCTCTAGGCATCCTTCCCTCACCCTTCCCCCGACAGCTGCCGGAAGAACTTTCGAGTGATGCCCACGGGCTTCTTCTCGTCCAGCTCTCCCGCCCGCTCGCGCGCCACGGGGCTGTAGGGCGGCTCCTTCGCTGACGGCATCACGGGACTGAAGACTGGCGGCGCGAGGCCCGACCCGAGCGCCCGGAGCTTGTCCGCCGTCAGCCGCTGCCCCACCGGGATGTCGTCCTCAGTCGAGGCGCTGTGGCGGATGCGCCTCTGGTTTACTATGTCTCTCTCTCGCGCTGCTGCTGCCCCCGAGTCGACCCTTCTCGGCGGAGCTTGAGCTTCATCGTCCTCGTCCATGCCCTCCTTCGGCAAGGTCGAGCGCGTGATGGCCCGAGAAGAGAGGGCCGACATTCGGTCGAGGCTCGATGTGCGGGTCAGGCTCCTCGTGGATCCGTTCTTCAGGAGCATTCTTCCCGACGCTTCGAACCCGGGGGCCATCTCCGCGAGCCCGTGGCTCTGCCTGCGACCGCCGCTGCTGCCGCTCTCGTTCTGAGACGGCGGCTTGCCCACTTCGGCTGAGCGCCTGCCTAATGTTTCACCCGAAGACCGGCTCCCGCTGCCGCTGCCGCTGCCGCCGGCCCCGCGGGAGGGTCTGGACACCCTCGAGGCGGTTTCCCCGCTCCCGTTCCCTCTCCTGTCCACCCTGTGCGAAAGGAGGCGGGGGAGGGGGCTATTGCCCGAGTGCCTGCTGCCATCAGCGCTAGCCTTGCTGCCGCCATTATTCTTCCCGTGCGAGCTCAGGTCCCTGATCCGCGGGAGGCCGTCCCTCGACCCCCCGGGCTTGGACGAAGAAGACGCCGACGAGCGGGAGTGGCCGGAGCCGGAGCCGGAGCCGGAGCCGGATGGGTTTCCGGGGCACCGTTTCGCTGAAGATCCCGATCGCCCCGAGCTGGTCCCCGACGCTCCGGCGGGAGAGCTCGAGCGGACTCGGGTGGGTGTCCTGCTGTTCCTGTCACCCCTACAGGCCACGGCCGCGCCGGCGGCGGCGGCCGCCGTGGACACGACCACCGCCACCCCGGCGACCGGAGTCTGGCGGTGCGCGGCAGAGGCGCGCCGGGTGCGGCTGGTCGGGCTAGTAGCCGACGGTGCCGGTTTCGCCTTGACCTCGACCGCGGATGCGCGGGCGTCCGCGTACGGGTTGCCCAGCATCACCGTCCCCGGGACGTTCTTCGAGGGAGCCACCGTCACCACCTTCAGCCCTGGCGTGGGACCGTTCCCCGCCGACACCACCGCCGTCGCCGTCGGCATCTTGCGGTTGGCCCGCCCGCCGTGCTGCGTCTCCACGTGCTTCACCAGCTGCACCACGTCGGGCAGGCGTAGCCCGCATTCCGGGCACGCCTCGTGCGGCGGCGAAGCCGACGCCGTCCCCGACGCCAACTGCCCGGGCACCACCGCGCCCGCCCCCGTAAGCAGCGCCCCCCGCGCGCTCTGCTCGCTGCGCATGCTCCTCATGCTGCGGCCGCCGATGGACCCCGGCCCGGGCCGCCTCCAAGACTCCTGGAACCTCCCTGTGCCGGACACGTAAATCGACCCCGGGTTGCGGACGGGGCCCGGGTACGGCTGTGGGCGGGCCGACGGGTTCGGCCGGAGCTTGCGCCCGGGGGCACCGCCGCCGCCGCCCCTGTTGGCCGTGATCTCCCGGCGGTACCTGTTGACCTTGGACCTGTGCCTGCGGCTCTTGTTGCAGCTGCGGCACGCGCACACCGCGGCGCAGCAGGCGAAGACGCCCAGGGCCAGCGCCGCGGCGAACTTCCAAGTCAGCAGGGTGTCCGCAGCCTGGTCGACGAGGTCGGCCCAGTCGCTGGGATCCTGTGCGGTCGGCAGGGCATTGGTCTTGATGAACTCGCCGTTCGCGATGACCGCGAAGGTTTGCGTGTCGTACTCGCTGAGCTCGTTGCAACTCACCTGTCATGCGTGTTCATTGAGCAATCAATCGGGGCGTATCCTTGAACATGGAACGTGCATTCGGGCGGAGCCAGTCGCGTCACTTAAGTCAACCAACTCCACAGAGACAGGGTGAAGGGTTCTTCAATATACGGTTCTTCCAAGATATGGAGTTCCGCATGCCGAACCAACAAGAGGAGCACACACCACCTGCTGTATGTAGCTTTTTTGACAGCCAGCTCTCAAACATAACTGTCAACAATCGATAGCGTACTACGGGACGGAAAAAACACGAAAAAAACAAGTCGATATGGCAGTACCAACGAAACAAGCCCCAACTCCAACCAGAACTGACCAACTTTGAACAAAAAACGTGTTTCCTTTGCAACTCTAAACTCAACCCACTCGAAAAGCGCACCCACACTCGACCACAAATGACAAAAAACAAGAAAGAATTCTGCAATATCCCGAAATCGCGACCTACCCGTATGACGTAATTCTCGCCCTGGGTGGTGTCGGTGATGGTGATCTTCTCCACGTTGTTGACCGTGTCCGCCTCTTCCAAGCCGTTGGGGTAGTACTCTGTGCCCGTCGACTCCGCGATGACGACCAGGTCAAGGTCGTGGATAAGAGCTTCCGTCGACCCCACGGAGGCGGGGGGATCCGTCCACACCAGCGTGATGCGCAGGTCCTGTTCGGGTGGCCAAGTTGAAAGATGGGCAAAAGAGGGTGTAGGCAGTCAGACGACTCATCTGTTTCATAGCACAGAACGGTGGGTCGACAAAAATCGTTCTCAACACACAGGCTGAAGCGGCAGAGCCTTTTACCGATCCGGCCTGACCTGATCCTTGCACGACTGCTGTCGCGCGGTCTGGCGGCTACAAAAATACACTCCTACCACGAACGCATCGGATCGAAGCCACACCAAACCACACCACACCAAACCAAACCAAACCAAACCAACCTTATCGGTATCCGCGTCCTCGTACAGCGACACGTCGTACTCGATGGACTCCCCCTCGCGAATCTCCACCCAATCCTCGAAAAAGATGCCCACCGAAGAGTTGATGTTGAGGGCGTTGATCATCGTCACACGGCCGAACCCCTGGGGGGGCACGCACGCGCAGAGCATAAACCGGTCCTTACGAATGTCAGCAACACAACATGAAAGAGGGAACGTGGCGGGAACGATGTGCAATCGTGTATTAACCGTCCTTCGCTGATGCGAAACGCACGCAAGCAACAAACCTTCCACGTCCACGGTAAGTTGCAAGGCGCACACCTGATTTTCGTAGCAGCTCTCCGTCACGCTATGCCATCCTGAAATCAATCTCACCTGGTGGATATCCGGAGGGGTCGTGAGCGTCACGTCGAGCGTGCTTGAGTCAGGGTTGACCCCAGCGTAAGTCATGCCCGTGGCCGAGTTGATCAGGACTGCCTTCAGCAACGCCCCCGACGGGTCGAAACCCAGGCTCTCGTTCTTGCTGCCGGTGTTGTACCAGCCCTCTCGGAAGTACTGTCGGGCCATAGCGCCGTTGCCCGCCACGATGGGGGTGGACATGCTCGTCCCCTGCGGATAATAAGGTTTGCGTTCAAGGGGGAAGGAGGCGAAAAAGACTCAGGACGTCAAGAATGGAAGGGACGATACATAGAAACACACCCACACAAGTTCGTCCGAAGCAGACAAGGCAACAACGCGCATAAACACATGAGCACACCAACACACCAACACTGACGTCGTTCCGTTGGTCAGCCGGATAGCGCGGTCGATGCCAATAATCACACACACAGACACAGACACACAGACACACACACACACACGCCCACACATCTACGGGAAAAAGGGCAGGCTCGCTACCACCCCCGCCAGCAGCACCGACCGCCCCGCACCCCAACACCCTGCGAGAAAAAAACGCTCCCTTCCTCTCTCACCGTCTGGCTCCCGAATCCGCACGTCTCCCCAGTGGGGTCCGCCGCCGCCGACCAGGTAGGGTCCCCCGGCGCCACGACATCGGGCTTTATCCTCCCGTCGATCGTCGGTCCCTTGGAGGAGAAGTACGACACGGTGTCCATGTCCTTGCCGGTAACCCCGCCGGACTCGGACGAGCCCACCGCCACGACGTTCTTGCCCTGGGCCGGGGAGAGCACGGTGCCCTCATCGTCGTCGAGGACGCTGCAGTTGTCGACCAGGTCGTCCGTCGTCGTGTCGCCGCAGTTGCCCGCGGCGAAGACCACGAGCATGTCCTGGTACAACGACAACGAATAACAACGCGGCAAATTGTGAGAAAAGAGGACGACTGCTGTATGACTTGATTTGTGTTACTTCTGTTCCGTGCTCTTGTGAACTAATCGACGTGTTTCGTGCGCTTTTCGCGCGTGTGTGCATGCATGCATGCATGCGCGTGACTATATCGCATCGATTGCAGACACTATTGCAGCGGCTGTGTAGTCAAACACTGCCGTGCCGAAAACAATAATCAACGCGCATCGAAACGACGACCGGTTTGATTTTTGCCTTGGAGTGCGAGGTGCACCCAGAGAACCCGCCTCCCAACTCTACTTGTTTAAACCAATAAACTTGAAAAAAATAAATGTCAGCAGGACAAAACACGAAAATAGCCTCGGCACATCACGAAGGACAAGTGCCCATCACCTTATCTCATTCCTGCTCTTCGGCCTGTATCTCAGTCGGACATGCTTGAGGGTTTCGAGGCTGCCGGCCGTAGTGTAAGAATTTTCCGTGTCCCTGGATACAACATAAAACAAGGGAGAGCCGTCTCCACTCCGCAGCACCACCCCTCACCTGGTGGGTGTAGACAAACTCGTCCACCTCGTTGCTGAGAGCAGAATACTCCGTGCTCACGGTGTCCCAGGAGTTACTGGACGACGAAGAGAGGCAGAGAACGGACCGGGGGGGGCGGGGGGCGGTTAGGATTGCATATATAGGGCAACCGATTAGGATGGGGCATCGTAAGTTACTCGTTGAAAGCGAAACAGGGTGTCCAAACACGCCATACCCTTGTTCAAGTCTAGTTTCGTGCGGCAAGCCGTGGTCTGTGGCAAGACAAACAGTGGGGTGTCGGTTGAACAGATGGTTTATAAGGGGTTCCAGAGAATCGGAACCAGGTGACATACATAAACACTTCTTTTCCTTGTTCCGGCGCCGAAACCGTACAAAAGCAAACAGAGCAGCCCCTCACCTGTGGACGCGAGCCCCTCCGTCATAGGCGGGCTCCAGGATGACCGTGTCAATCTGAAGGGGGCACAGCGAAGAGGAAAACAAATCCAGGAAGGGTGGGTGGGTGGCACGAGCGAGACCCATTTGTGAAAAAAAAAAAAACACACACACATCTACCTTTGGTATATACATACGAAAGCAGAAAAATGGCCTGTTGTTTGGCGTTTACAGCAGCAGTACGCCTAAAAAAGTGGCTACACGAGTCACCGGAGGCACCTGTCCTCATTACTGAGGCCAAATTCTCGCCACTAAGTCATTCAGCTTCACGACCTCTTAAAAGCGCGATTTTACAACCGCTACCTTGAGGCATCGCAGAACCTGAGACCCAAACATGAAAGAAAATAAAGAAAACGTCCTGAACAGGGCACCGAAGAACGGAAAAAAAAAGAAGGGACAACACAACAAGAAAGTTGAGAGAGAAATAACAAGAGCAAACCTCGTCGGGGGTGGTAAGGGCGTTGAAGTTGTCCGAGTCTCCAAAGTCGAAAACGGCAAGCTTTCCCTGGAACGCCATGCCGTCGGCATCGTCATCCCCCGCGTCCTCCCCGCTCTGCGCGCCGGCGATGGAGCCGGCGACGTGGGTTCCGTGCCCGTCCGCCTCTGCAACCACAAATCCCATTAACCTTTCAGACGTACATCATCTCACTGCCGTTTACTGCTGTTGTGTTAACCGCTGCTTGGATTCTATAGGGGGGGTATACTACTACATCCGCTTCGTGGGGAAAAAAACATGCAGGGCACCTGGCAGTTCACGCACTCATACAACACAGGAGGGAACCTAGCCCGAAGAAAAAGGAGGAGGTTCAGGTGACCTCACACATGCGGTTTGGAGCGGGTACGTTGCGCAGCGACAGCAGCTGAACTGAGCAGACACCGGCGTTGTCAAGAATTCCAACAACAACAACAGCAGCAGCAACAACCCTATCCGTTGGAGCAAGCCGGCATCACAGCCTTCACAAGCCTCACCGTCGAAGTCGTCGACGAAGTCGATGTACTGCACGACCTTCCGCTTGTCCAAGTCCGTTACCGGGTCGTCCCAGTCGCTGGCCTCGATATTGTCGTCGTCGTCCTCCCGAAAGTGACAGTGGTTCAGGTCCAGGCCCGTGTCCGCCACCCCGATAATCTCGTCTTGCCCTTGAAGGTTCTGATATTGACGAGCAAAAACAAACAAAAACAAACACTCACACACGAAACACCCGTATCTGTCTTAAATCCGGAGAGTAGCATAGCCTCCTGCATGCTGCCCCCTTACGGGGTCCCAGATCATATGGCATTTGGAAGCATTTTGCGTTCTAACCAAACTGAGACTGACATATTTTCATTGGTCAGCCGGTTAGTGCGCGACGATAAAAAAAAAAAACAATGCATGGGGATTGTCTTCATCTAGAACCGTTTCTGTCTTCAATCCAGAGAACAGTAGCCTCCCTCGTAACCATGTGCCAAACTCTCAGGCACACCGTGGGACAAAGAGTGTCAGCGACGTCGCAGCGGCTTCGGCCACAACTCTCAGGCACGAGACTGCCAGCAACGTCCAAGCGGCTTCTCCTGCTGCCTTCAACGCAACGCGGCGGCCTCTCCTTTCACACAAGAAATGCTCACCTCATCCCACAGCGGGGTATACCCGTCCACCGCGGACTGCGTCACCCAAGCGGCGTCGAGATTCTGGATCGCCGTCTTCCTCCTCGCCGTAACGTAGCGCACCTCGGGCTGCAGCGAAAAGAACGCCAGCAGGGCCGACATGCAGCCCTCGTCGCCGCCGCCGCTGTCAGTAGCGGCAGCCAGCATCTCGTGCGGCCTGTGCAAGAGGACCTTCTTGCCGCTGGGGGACACGGTGAACCTCGCCAGATCGAACCCGCAGTAGCTGGCCCTAGTACCCCCGGCGGCGCCTTCGGGCCCGCCAACCGACGAGCCTTGCCCGCCGCGTTCGCCATCCCCGCCACCCACGGCTTCCAGGAGGCTCACCCACCCCAGCCGCTTCCGCTCCTCGTGGGCGGACACATGTCTCGCCCGCTCCTCCTCTTCCGTCGACAACCGTCTCCGGCCCTCCACTTCTTCCCCGATACTACTACTACTACTACTACTACTACTACTACTACTACTACTACTACTACTACTACCGCTCATCATCAGTCTATCCTCCTGTCGTCGGCTGCCGCCGCCGCCCCAGAAGTGCTCCTCCCTCAGCGCCTTCGCGAGGGCCGGCTGGTTGCTCGCCAGGGACAGCCACCGCCGGGCCATCTCCTCCGTCTCGCCCTGCGAGCGCTTCTCGTGGTGCCTCGCGAGGCTGATCTCGATCGCGTCCACCATGCCCCTCTCCCCGTGCTCAATCAACCGCTGGGTCGCCGGCCGGTCGTCCCCGGGCAGCCCCGCCGCCGCCGCCGCCGCCGCGGAAGCCAAGATCTGGTCGCGTTGCTCCGCCGACACCTCGCTCCTACCTGCACCGCCGGCAGCGGCGCGGAGATGCCGCCGCCCTCGCAGCCGACTACCGCCACCCTCGTCGATGTACACCCCTTGGGTCGCGCCCGCCGCCTCCGAGGACAGCAGCAACGCCGCCGAGGACGGGTCGGCCGCCACAGCGGGGGCGAGCTTCGCCAGGTGCGGCAAGGGCTCCAAAGAAAACGTCCCCTGCCCCCCGCCACCGCCGCCGCCGCCGTCACCGTCGCCGTCGCGGCCGTCCGCGGCCACGAGCGCCGCTGAGGCTCCGTCCAGGCTAGCGAAGGAGCAGAGGATCTCCCCCTTGCGGCGGTGCAGCGTCTCGACGAGGGAGTCGCCCCCGGCCAGCTCGCGGAGGCGCTTCGCGTTCGCCCGCCCGGGGGCGCTGCAGACCACGAACGTGCTGCGGGTGCCCGCCGGCTGAGCGGAGAACCGATCCCACTCGTGGTCCAGCAGGCGGCCGAAGGCGTCCTCGCTGCCGGCGAGCTGCTTTTCAAGAGGAGGAGGAGGAGAGACGGGATAATGAAGAAAAGGGGATTAGGGAGTGCAGGGACGCGGAAGACCGGTTGATATATAACAGGTGTGACAAACACACCTCCATTGCTTTCTCTTTATTTAACGGTGGTGTTGATGGGCGCGAGCCCGAGGCGGTGGTGTGAATGTTGATGATGCAGATTGGGTAAAACATGGAGCAGAAACGCCTTCGATAACGGAGGGGGTTCCAAGCTCCCGGAAAGATACACGACGTTGTATGCTATCAACACACTAGAAGAGATGAAGAGGATGTGTTCCTACATTGTATTTAGAAAAACCTTGAGAAAAGTGTGGACACTGACAACACTGAAGTTATGACCGTACCTTCTAGATTCCAGTACAAATTGGCCCTGACACGAAACAACCGTTTTAAAAATACATTTTCAGCCATGGAACGCCGAGAATTCCAGAACGAAAAGAGTAATACATCAGTAGCACACTATTTACTTCTGTACCGACCCCAGCACCCGGTCAACAGACACAGAAGGGGCGAGTTTCAACGATCGTTCGGAAAGGTATTCTAGACATGAATTAATAAATTCGGAACAACACACCCCTTCTAACGTCGAAAACGACGGAAATGGACGTGGGTTTGTGGGGGGCGAAAGCGTGGGCGCCGCTGTGCTTTGATATGCACGGACCATTCGTGTGCAATATTTGGATCATCAGGTGCTGGCGAGTCTTCCGTGTTCACTTGCAGCCCTATCTGTTTTAAGCTGCACATGCGTAGGAGACTTCCATTCTTAGGGGTCACTCCGGGGTGGACTCATGAGAGCACACAGACGGCAGTTGCCATTCAGGGGAGTGATGACGCAAACAGGTAAAAAGCAGGCAGCAGGACCAGGAATGCAGCTGCCATTTGTGATGATTCCCAGGCTCGACAGCTCAAACACGTCGACTCGAAGAGCCCAGCGAACCAACGAGAGACATAACTTCTATGGTACTTACAAAATCAATCTGTTACAGCAGTTTTGCGATGGTCGGCCGTTTTATGTCGGTGGTTTTGTGTTCTGAAGTACAGGCGCGAGCAGCAGGACAACCAGCATCAATCGTAGACAGCCAATTTGATGGTGTGTCCACCTGCAAACCGTATATGCAAGATGCAAGCGATTTCGTAACCAAGTGCTCACAAAACATGGCAGATGAGTACTCTGCCGTTTCGCTACGTGGTTCGACACATCCCTCTCGATCTACAGCAACACCCCCGTGGTACAATATGGATAACCCAGCCAGTTTGTCGTTGGACGACCGTGGTTACATCTCGAATGGGGAAGTCTTTCTGTGTGTGGATTTATTTTGCCTGATTACCGTGTGCACGATGAATTACATGGTATGTGCACCATGGCATGCATGTGCAGAACTAACCCTAATGAACTGCTCCTGCTGCTGTTCACACGCGAGCAACAAACATGGGAACAACAGGAACAAAACGAGTCTGATATCTGGCCGTGTGTGTACAAAAGTACAGCAGAAATATCGATCGTCAGAAACATACTTTGAAGTAGTAAATGTCATCATCCATGAAGTTAGAAAAAAAATTAAATAGTGTCGTGCATGTGGAGGACACAACCAGGGTACGGGAAGCTATGTACTTCTATCTAGCTGCATGTCAATCAATCAATGTACAATGCACCCTGCAGGACCATGGCTACCTGGTGGTGGCAGGTGGCAGGCACTTGCGGACCGCACCCCCGACGGCTACCTTGGGAACACTTGAACATGGCAGAAATCTGCAGCATTGCGGACGATGCATGTGTGTGCAGGTCCCGAAAGCTGCTGCCGACGACCAGACGACCAGAACATGAAGTCCTTTCGCAGTCAAGTTGTCTGCAAGTGATTACTTCTTTTAACTTGACTCTACCGCTCCCGAGGGGGGGCGTAAACGCTGTCATGCTCATGGTCACGAAAATAGCAACGTGAGCGGAACCCGGCGCAACACATTCCCCCGGCGTGCTCGCGTTGTCCGTACGTTTTCGTCGAAAGTAAAATCACCATTTTTTTCTGGGAAGTTTCGTGGAGCTCTGCTTACCTGCATCCTTTATCTCTTCCCAAAGAGCACGAAAAGCTGAATCTCGGGGTTGCCCGAGTGCATAAATCAACAACTAGCCGGGTGGGGGTGTGAGGTGTTGACGAATCCAAGCTCCATTAACTGATCTGTTTCTCCTGTGTCTATCGGCCAGTCCTTTATAACCCACCTGCTCGAAAGCCGCTTCGCATGCTCTGCTCCATTGTCTGCTGCGAGATGCCTCTCGGCGAACTAACCGACAAGCAGCAAGTCTTCCCCAAAAAACCAACGTTCCATGTAACATCACTTCAAATTCTACGAGATCACGGCCGGTGGCTGCTGATGATGTGGAAGTATGTACTAGGTCAACAGAGCAACGTGTGCCCGACAGGCGACAACGGTTTCCTGGCTTCCTAAGAGGGGGCTTCGGGTACAACATGCGCATTGTCATTATTGTACCCGGTGTGTCACAGAGAGGGAGTCCCGACGCGCGCACCGAGGACGTTTTTTCTGCAACAAGGAATGGGCAGCATCATCCTTGATGGGCGGAGAAACAGATCGCAAACCTAAGCTCACCTCCATGTGGACACCGCTACTCAGCATGCTGGTGACTTTCGCGAGGGATATTCTTCCATCCTCGAGCCCCACCACATCGCCGGCCCGTTTGTCCCGGCTATCTCCCAATTGCTGCTGCTGCTGCGTCGCCCCTGCTAATGCTGCAGTTGGCGGAGAACGGGAAAACAGAAAGCCGCATACCGCGAGCTTCCAAAAACCGCTGCAAAAAAAAACTGTGTCTTGCGACCGGAGGCGCCGCTTGCGACACCTCCCGGCGCTCTCACCCGCTACCGTCACATTCTTCGGCCTCGAGGCGCGGACAACATCGCTTTTTGGCATCCTACGGAGCCAAGGGGGAGCGGAGCTGGAGAGGGTAGACTGCGGCGGTGCTGTATCGGAGGGTGGAGAAGCAGCTGCGCGGAGTGTGGCGGGTGTTTACAAGGAGGGGGGGCCGCAGACATTATCCGATCGAAGGGGTAGGGGTGGGTGGGAGCGTCGTTCAATGTTCACCTGAAGAAACAATCTCGGATCATTCGCGCGTCTACGCATACTTCGCTGCAGTCGGGGGGATGGTACACAAGTCGCCTACCGATCCTCGGTGTCTAGTAGTCTAGTACTTGATGCGAGGCAATGCGTAGTATAACTGTTGCAACAAGATTGGCCCGGGTGAGTGTTTTCCATTCGGCGCCATCGTAACGAATCCGGTTTTTTAGCAACCATGCCCCTATGCCCCCCCATCTGTCCATGGATGCGGGCAAATAACTCGTTCTCACTTTCGACCTTCCCACGTACAGAAAGAAGTACATGCTTGTTGGATCTGTTAACGGCACGAGGGACTATGTCGTCTGATAGGCGAAGATAGATCCTACAAACGACAGACAACGACAACAATAACACGTGGTTTTGCACAGTGAGTATTGTCACGAACGACCGTGGCATTTATTGTATGAGTCGCAGAGTATAGTATCATGGACACCGTCGTGTCGTTACAGGTACCAGCTATTGCTCTGTTGTGTGGTCTTCACCATTGATCTTCACCTTCAAAATCATCGTTCAGGACTCTTTTATCTACTACTCGAGTACCTTCTCATATCCGTACGTGGTACTCGGTACTTAGACTAGTCTAAGTCACAGCCAAACTGCCCAAAAAACGGACCAAGACTTGTACAAGTCGAACGGAAGATGAAATGTCGTGTTGCGCGTGGAAGATTTCGATCACCGCATGATACTAGAAACGGTGTGCCAAACCTTTGCCTCCACCTACTGAGTCTAGCCGGTTTATTTATCATCACTTCAATTTTCAAGACACAACAACAACGGTTCCCCCGTTCTCCCGCACAAACGGAGATTATTACTCTCGTCTGTCGAGGCAAAAACGTTGAGACATTGATTCTCGTCCTCTCGGGAAGATCGACCCACACTACAAATCACCAAAAAAAAACAACACCTGCCTCACCGCAACTCCACCTCTGTGATAACCTACTTCGCGTCCGTGGCGCGCTTCGTTAATTATTCCCACGGCAATCGTCGCATACACATCAAAGCACCTCTACATTTAACATATACCAGTCTATACCCTAAAACACAACACGTGACATCACAATTTTTTCTCCACCTCGCGGAGGCCGCGGCTGATCCGCTCAGATGACCGGGGCAGGTACAGTATCGTATTGCCTGCCGTCGCGGCCACTCCTTCCATACGGATTCTTTCGCCGCCGCTGGTCTGCTCCTAGGTAAAAAAAACACACGACACTAGCATCACGTGGGCATCATCGAACAACCAAAACAAGCAACGTAAAACGGCTCTTCAGTCTTCGAGTAACACAACCAAGTAGCGCAATCCCCAACCTCCCTCTTTTCTTCGCGTATTTCTTCGATGCAACCGTAATAGCAAGAACTTCGTAACAATTGATTATTCTGTCAAAAATTGTAGCCCAACAAACACGACTCAACTCCCCAATATCTATCGCTAGACTAGTCTTTGTACTTGTGCCCCACCCCGTCCCTCCTTCCGATTCCATCGCCGCTGCTGGTCTGCTCGAAGCTAAAATACACACAACATTGGCAAAAGGGCCAGGCAAAACACCACGTCACTGCCCCCGTGTCTAGCCCTGCTACTTCTGCCCAGCCCGGCCCGTGCTCACTGGTACAACTGTATCGCCGTGGTTTCACCAAACAATACCCGTTTTCGCGTGAAATATAAAGTACAAATCGATACAGAACAAGTGGTTGCTATACAAGCAAGGCAAACTCGAGCTCCCACTACATGCGCAGATTCTGCAGTGCTGCTGAGGGACAACAAACGCAGCTTACTTCCAAGCCCACACACGCTGTTCAGTATCATGGTCGATTTTCACTCAAAGGCATTGCCCCCGCCCGCGAATATGGAGATGTTGTGGAGTAGCGGGCTTTTCGTGCTATTGGACGCTGGCTCTCTCTGTCCACAAAACAATACACGTATTGTACATTATCAGCCATTGACCTACCCTCTCACAAAACAGCATGTACTTCACATCATCAGTCAATGACCTTCCCCCAACGAGCAACCCCAAAGCTCCAATCCAAAATCCGATCCGAAACTCCTACAAAAGCACTCGGGTGAATAGAACCGCGGCGTTCGGCGACAAATAAGCTGTGCCAATCAGAGGGAAGTCGCTCTACAGGCCTCACAGTTCCATTTGAAACCGCGATTGTTTACCGCCGGCCACCGCCCCCCCCCTGGTGTTTGCCATCGGGGTTGGGTTTTCGTCGCTTGGCAACGACGTTGTAAAACAAGCCACCCCCTCGGTGTTTGCCATCGGGATTCGGTTTTCGTCGCTTGGCAATGACGTTGTGAAACAAGCCAAATCACTTCGTGAACTCGGCAACCAGGTTACCTTTTTTTTTTTTACCTCTGTTTTTTGGCAGTAACCATAATGGTGGTCGAGTGGATCATGTTGTGCGGGGTCGAGAAACCCTCACTCCGCGCAAGGAGGATGATCGCACCACGTTGTGTTGAAATGGTCAAGCACCCTCGAGGCAGTTAAACAGTGCTTATAACTGTTTCTGGAAGTGAAAGCACCAGAAAAGAAATCAAGTCATACGCAGCTGTCATCCGTATGCAAGGAAGTGAGCACAAGATGNCGTGCTCCGTCCCGGCTTTGTAGGGATGCGAGGTCATGGTCTAACGACTACGGCATGCACGACCATGAGTACACCCCCCCACCCCCAGTCCAACAGTGACAGGGGCAGGGCACGAGATACAGAGCTCCTGCCCTGCCTCGATGCTCTTGAGGGAGCAAACGAACACGCGCTTCTCCTGGGACTGCCCCTGCCCGACCTTCACCTGTGTGAAAACAAAGGTCGCCAAGAGAGACGTTTGGATAGGATAAAAGACGGAGCGGGGGGGGGTGTCACCAAGCTGCGCCATGTCCATACAAAAAAAAAGAGCTCATAGTAAGATAGACTGCATGCGTACGTTTATGGAGAAGAAGAAGCACTGCCCAGCCAGGTAAAACGCGTCAGTCTTTGCACGGTGCGAGGGAGTACTTGTAAGAACAACGGGCCACGTGTCCACTCTCTTCCTTCCTGGAAATTGGGGCGATATGCAGCAGAGGATTCAGGCACCGCAGAAAACCCGACCAACAGCAGTCGAGTCCAAAAAAAGTAAAAGACACAACTGTCGTCATGCAGGGGTGCTCGGCAGCGGAGGTGAGAGGAAGCCCCTTCTCCTCTCTTTACAACAGAAAAAAACAAACGCCCAGTCTTCCCAAGCACGCTTACCGTCCGCCTGTACAGAGATACACAACTGAGCAAAATAGAGTTCAAACGCGTTCTCTTGGTACCATCAGCACACTCCACAACGTATCTATCACCCACCACACCCTGAATGGTATCTACAGTAGCAAACCGTTGGAAACGACGCACGCTGCTCACCGTGTGCAGGTACGTGTTCGCCTGGCACGAGTGGTTAAAGCGGCGGGGGGAGCAGCCCTCCGCCAACGGGTCGACCGTCACCGAGTCCAAGTAGGAACCTCCCGCAAGTTGAACGACACAACCCTGCGGCAGCGATGACACCGGGGGAGTTCAGAAAAGGGAAAGGGTGGCGTTGGCGGGAGCGTGGATGGGGGATGGAGGGGCTGGCTGGCGTATTTGCGTGCCCCAAACGAACTGATTTGACAGCACACGATCGTACCCAGCCATAACATCCACCCACGCCGTGTCCACAACGTCAACATTGGGAATAGTCGCGGCTGCTGCTGCTGTTGCTGTCGACGTTGTACGCGCTTGACAGCACATGACAGCAAGGGCAGGGAACCCTACCTCAACCCAGCTTGACTTGAGAGTGTGTCAACACATACGGGGGGTACCACGGTCGCTCGTTTTCTATGTACATCTTTTCATACCCGCGGGAATTGCCGTCGAGGCATCAGGCGAGGGTGTACGTGTAGCACGCACCAATGCTCCCACAGAAAGGTGTGACGGCCATGAACGTGCACAAACACAAGGTAGACTACAGGTGGGCCGATGATACAGAAACTCACAAAACGAAGCACCCGAGCGCGCAAAACACGCTGTTCCACTTCCATCTCTTTGTGTATGAAGAAATAGAGTTCATACGCCTGAGAGAGAACCCTTAGCTGTGCCCATCTTTGCCCTCCCTCGCTCTAACGTGGAAGTCCATCTTGCGGTAGGTCGCTACCCGCTGTTTGGCCACCGCCCTCGTGATCTTCTCCCCCGTAAATTCTGCCAATACATTCATTGGCTGAATCATATCAGCGGCGAACACGCCGCAACCCTGTCATTATCGACGTTTCCATGAAATTACGAGGGGCACGGGTGAGGCACGTGTGTGTGCAGTATGTATTACCACCCCTCGCTCTCACGTGAAAGTTCATCTTGCGGTAGGCCGCTACCCGCTGTTGGACCTGACCTGTTGCCCGGAGTGAGGGAGGGGAAGATGGGCATAGCTAGAGCATTTCTCTCAGGCGCATGAATTATATTTCTTCATACACAAAGAGATGGAAGTCGAACATCGTGCCTTGCGTTCCCGGGCGCTCCGAGTTGCGGTTTAGTCTGGCTAAAAAGCTAAACGTACCTTGTACCGTGAAACTACACTCGGAATTAGCACGCGAAATTGACCTCTCCCGTGTCGGTACACGAGGGGATGGACGTGCGGTGATATCAAACACGTAACTTGAGCACGAGGGCCATCAACAGAGTGCATTGTCCCTCACTGGTTGACCGCACACGAGCCACAAGTTTGAACAAAAGCATTCTAGTATACCAGTACTGTCGTAGCAAGAGCGAAAGCTGGAAGTAGCACTGCCGGTGAATTTTCTCTCTCGTTCGCTCGCTCGCCCAAGCACATAAGCACAGGACGTGGAAGACGAACGGTCGTTCTAATGGGCACGCCAAGCGCCAACACGAACAAAATTTGAGCCTCCTCCCGAGCAAGCTTATTCTCCCCAACAAGATGAAACGTCGGGAATGGCCTTGAAATAGGTTTGTTGCTACGACTAGTTGCTTACGTTGGTGTTGGGTAGGGATAAGGAACAGACAGCCCTTCTGCTGCTGACAAATCCTGCCTTCGCTTCTGTTGCTTTTGCCCGCGCTGTCCATGTTTTTTGTTATCTGTTTTGTATCGATGACCTCGGCAACGGGTGCGACCACACGGCCTCCCAACGAGTAGCAAGTTCCGGATTGGACGGTGGCGGCAACGGTAAGGGTGAGGGGGGATGGGGCGCCCCTCCGTTTGGAAGATGTGGTTAGCACATCCCACCTGCTCTTTGATGCCATCAAAGCATGTGCACTGGATGGGGACAGGGAGGTTCTGTCCAAGTACAGGGCGTTAGAAAAGAATAATCCGGCGGTGTTGCAGACGCGTCTGAACAACGAGGCGAAAGCGGAGGGCAGGGCGGCGGCGGGTAGGGCGCAAGCGGAGATGATTCGGCGGCCGTGCGAGGGCGCTACGAGTGCCACAGCTACTCCCTGCACAAGGAACTAGTGCGTTACGGGTGGCGTGTTGGGTGCATGCAATTTTGCTGCGTGGTTTGGCAGTGCAAAGGTGTTCCGTGCCGCAGCTTGGGATTGGCTCTCATGTATTTGCGTCGTTCTCCTCTGGAAGAAAATTGCGTGTGCTTGAGTGGAGTGGAGGGGCAGGGAAGTGTCCCGTCTGGCGAGTCGAGTGAGTGCACAGGTGTGTGAGGGCGAGCGCCTCGACCGTCAGACCAACTGTGGCCGGAACATACGTCATTCTTTGCCGGCAAAAGAGAAGCCGAGGCATGTTTCGTCCGGTTGTCTCATCGGGGTCCCCCGAATGCCGACAAGAGTGTTTCTGCGTGAGGAAAACATGATGTGCTGGCTAAAATCCCGGCAGTTCTTATGGGGGCAGAGAGGGGGGAAGGCGGCCACGTATAGGAAGGTGGGCACCACAGACGCTACTTCGGGGAACCAAACACCACACAAAACGCTGCTCATGACCACAATGCATCACGCCGCGGATGGGTCAAAAAGATCCCCGCTGGCCAACAGCACCAGACTCTCACATTTCTTGCATCGTGCAGCTTGATGGTGTTGGCCCTGCCGGTTGAGGTAGCTGCGGCGAAGACCAACCTCCGCTTGTCGTGCACCACGTACGACGTTCCGCGGCCAGGCGGAAACTCCAGTACCGCCAGGTCCTGTGGTCTTGACAGATGCCATAACCGTACGGTCCTGGTGCGGTCGGCGCATGAGTTTGCCCCATAGAAATCGATCATACCAGTCGAGAAGAGACGAACGCACAACGGAAAAGCGGGGCGGGGCAGGGGGAGGGGTGCATAAGGGGGGCGCCGAAATATCGTTGAGGGCGAAATTCATTTCACGGAGGTGTTTTCAAGGAGGTGTCTGCGAATGGCGACTCGGAACATGCATAGCAATACAGTAGTTCAAGAGGAGGGCGGGGGCATGGGTGGCGGTCCCTGATAAGTAATCGCGACATTGGCATGATTTCACGTCCGTCTCTCTCCCGGGGAGCATGTCGTCTGAAGGAACACGTGCTAGACACTCGCTAGCACACAACGGCACAGGTAAACCACTCCATCCCTCCTCCCTCAACGTATTTACGACAAGTCCGATGCACGGCAGAGGAAACCGATAGAGGAGCAGCTCCACCGTGTTGTGGAGAACACAGGCGACACGGAGCCCCTCCCTTCCTCACTTCCCGTCCAACTGTGCCTTGCGAAGCCAAGAAAACAAAGGGCACAAGCCCTCGCTATTCCGGGTAGACAAAATGTTGGCTCAAACACTTTCAAGCTCTTTCAACCAATTCCATCAATCGCCCAAAGCAGCAGAGTTGAGTATGCAAGAAACGTATTCGGAAGCAGACTCTTGTTGCGGGAAAGCAGAGTATCCCTTTCTTCATCCTCCACCGGCAGGCGGGACACAACATCACACCACCTTTCCCGCTAGATGTACTTTTGCCAGTCACGCCGCTGAAACCAGAAAGCGTGCTGGTGTGCTGGCACTTGAGAAGCCACCGTCAAAACACGTCTCCATGTGGAGATCACCTCCATAAAGGCTACAATCTCCCAACGGCTGTCGAGGACGATTCCCTCTTCTCACATTCACTTCATAATTTTCTCTTTTGGTTTCTGTTTGTCTCCGATTTCT